TTATTATTATTATTATTTGGCTAACAGATTATTGTTGTTGTATAATTATCGCATACCTAAGAATATCATATCATATCTCGTCAAATCTTTGCTGGATAAGGGAAGTCCTAACAATTAAAGAAGCAATAGATGCCCACATGAATTCTAGTAAATTTTATTAATTAATCATAACAATTTAGTGTACCATAGTAAAGTGGCACATGTGATCTGACTAATCACAATTAACTTGATAGGCCATTAATTTGATATGGTCTTCTTATATAATAAATGTTGAATCCCAACTTTGAGAGCCCCCATTATCCCATTCCTGAAGTATCGTGAGGAAGGTAAATCGCGAGATGTGTTTCAGCAGACCAGGGAACAAGAGCTTGCTCGTACACTGGTGCCCACAAAGAGTCTAATTCTATATCTCAGAAATCGAATCCTCACACTATAACTGCTAGCAAGGTTGAAACTACTTCATTTCTATCCTTTGCACCACTGGGTTATGCCCCGTAGGGCTGGTCATCTTATATATTTCAAGTTTATAATAGACTAATGGATAGTTATGTAAAAAACAAGATTTGGACCAAAAAGATTTGTCATAGATTTTCAAATCTGCAGAATTAATTTGAATAATGCCAAGGCTTAGGAATTAAACCGCTTAAAGTTATAGTTATAGTCAATTTGTTTCCTCCTAGTGATAAGGTTGCACTGCCTATTTTAAAGGATTTTGATAATCAATTAGGTACTTTAATGTCTATATAGATATTCTTGGCAGAAAGAAATTACCTGAAGAAGAATTATAACTCCACTTCTATATTCTCCTTTACTCTTTTTCCGGGACTCCATAGACTCTTCGCAAATCGCAAGAACGCTTTGATACTTTCTTGTACATCATTATGGACGAACAGCCCAGTAAGCACCATCTCTTTGTTTGTAAATTGTGCCTTGACCATTTTTATTTTTTTGAACTTTGTTAATTGTTTTTAGCCAATTCTCTCTTATATTTTTTAGGGTTCTTGAATTCTTCTTGACTTAATAATTGTGATTCGGTTAAAAAAATTTTATTTGCATGTAAATAAATAAATAAATAATAAATAAATAAATTCTGTTGTATTCTTTAGGGTTCATAAGCCGAGTTCTTGAATCTTCTCGTCTTTGCCATGATTGATTTGATTTGAAACTTTTAATATGTTTATATCCAATCTGTTTTATATACTTTAGAGTTTAGAGTTCTTCAGCTAATCCATGTCTTAACAATTGCGATTATAGTAAGACTAGAATCTTTCTTTCTGTTCTTTAGGGTTCGTAAGTTTTCTTGGGCTCTTCTTGACCATTATGATTTCACACTTCTTGATTTTTATTTTATTTTTAGCCAATTTAATGTTATATTCTTAGTGCAAGTTTGTATATAATAGAATTGGACAATTATATATGTTCCTTCCTAATGTCGAAATCTTTCTATCTAATACAAGTCATGAAACATGCCAAATTTTGAACGCAAGTTTTCTTGATGCTTGTTTCATTATCAACAGATGCAGCAGAAAATATGGAAATCAAAAGTCGGGATCACATGCTGTTCTTCTATGTGCGTAGGATTATATGGAGATCCATAATGGCTACGTTCAGCAGTGTTCTAATATGGTTTCTAGTGAAGTTCCAAATAAAGGAATTTCGGCATTCTACAAATCAGCATGTCGACGTGATAAATGTTGCCATGAGTTTAATCTTCTTGTTGATTCTCGTAGTCTTGTGTATTTTTCTAATAATCCTTATTATTCTTGATTGCCGAAAGATTGTGAAACAATTAGTGTCCGGTTGAGAGTTGAGGCTCCAGCGAGTACCATGGCAGAAGAAAACCATCAAACTAAAGTGTTAGAGGCTTAGAGCAAGTTTAAATTTGTTTTTCTTTTGCTAGTCGAATATAGAAAACAATGTAATTTTGATAGCTACAAGAAACAATGTAACTTTTACAGCACGTTTATGAAGGTACAGTTGTAAATGTTGAATTTGTGACAAAATTTTCAATCCTTTTCAATGATCATTGTATTTCACTATTATGGGGTCCGATTTTGAATGGTATTTACTAACGATTTTTAAAAAAAAATTAGGAATTTATTGTTCACAAGTTTTGATTTTTTTAAAAAAAACTTAAGTTACATATGTTCCACTTAGTGAATTTTTTATTTACATTTTTCTGTATGAAATTTTTTACTCATAAGTGTTTTTACTTATGAGTAATTTTTAAATACAAGTTAAAACTTAAAAAGTGAAATACTTATAATTAAATCTTGAAGTCTAAGTAAAATATTTTTAATAATAAATAAATATTACAATTATAAGTTAACTTTTTTACTTATGAATATTATTTAAATATAAATGAATTTTTTGAATTATAAGTAATATCTTATATTTTTAAGTAAATTTTCTCTTATTAATAGTAATTTTACTTTATAAACAATTTTTCCAGGAAATGAAAGTGAAAATTTATTTGAAGTAAAATTTTTATTTATAAATTTTTATTTTTTTGTTGATAAATAATTTTTTAGTTAATTTATTTTCATTAACAAATTTGATCTGAACAAAATATGTTGGTTAAACTAATTATTCTAAAGAGGGTAAAATTGAAAGAAAATATAAATAACGACAAAAATACCAATTTGGATGTTGAGAAATACATCCAATATTACTACACCGGTATGGGTAGTTTTTAAAACCATTAAAATCCATTTCTCTAAGTGGAAATTACAAAAAACTCTAGAATTAAAATCTAGGGTTCTAAAATCAGGTGAGTAGTTAAACGTTTCAAAAATAAGATATTTAATATTTTAATATTAAATATTAATTATACAAATTTCATTCCAAACCTAATCAATTTCTTCTCTCTCCATCTCCTTCTCTCTCTTCATAGACTCTTTCCACTCGTTCTAGCGCTGCACGTATTCTCTCTCTCCGATAGCTCTAGAAACGCAATTCCGACTCCGGCGATTATTGCTGGTTTGGGCAGTGAGGCTTCTATTTTCATTTATCTTCATCGTGGTGGCGGCGACAATGCCGAATTTAGGGATTTTTTGGTGCTGGTGTGGCGACGGCTGCGATGCTAACTGTGATGGTGGTGAGATTGTGGTGGCCATTGACAGCATGGCTCGAAACGGCACTGTGTACGGCCAGAAAACACTATCGGAAGAAATGACGCCGTCAAAATCTATTGAGCAGCCGTACTATGATGCAATTGCACGCGCGTCGCTGTGTCCAACGAATGCGATGATGCCATTTTGGATCAGGTTTTGCTTTGATTTTGTTAACGGTATTTTGCAGTTGGTGGTTGTGATGTTGGCGGCGATGATGGCTATGATGTTGAGTTGGTGATGTTGTCTGAGTTTTGGATCTAGCTTTGGGCTATGGTTTGGGATATGGGTTTTGGTGGAGGAGGTAGGGTGGTATGACATTGGTAGTGGTCGGGACGGTAGTGGTTGTTGCAAGTGTTGGTGGCGGTGACGATGGTGGTTATGGATGGTGATTTGGTGAGTGGTTTGTGTTGTAACAGTGAAGGGTGGCCGACGGTATTGTGTTTGCTGTGGTAGTTTTGCCTTGCAACGGTGTTGCTATTGGGTGGTGGTGGTGGTGGTTCTGGTAGCGACGGTGGCGGTGGTTCTGTTGGAGGCAGTGGTTGTCACAAGTGTTAGTGGTAGTCACAGATTAATTGGTTGATTGTGACTATTAAATTGGTTAATCTGTGACCAACAAACAATATGTGACCAATGAAAAAGATAGGATGAAATCAATGAGTTCAAGCAACGAGGATGTTAATCCTAGAAGAATAAGGGAAGCCTTTGAAGAAGAGGTTCTTCGGGCAAACGTCACACATCAGAGACCTCGCCATCTCCATCGTCGAGGCAGTGGAGAGGCTGGAAGATTAACTGCTGAAGTAGCCTAGATGGTTGCGAACACAAAGAACATTGTAGCCCATAATGCAACTATACATGAGCTCCTAATACAGGTCTAAGGCCAGCAAGGCTTCCAAATATCTATGGAGAGGCCCCGACAGCATATGGGCAAACTTAGGGATCCCATAGCCAAGGGTAATTGAGCCATCAAAGAGGATGCCTCGTCGAAAGGGAAGTAAGAGTTGACATTTCGTAATATGCGACGGGTCCACTTGCAACGGATGCCCAGTTGGGGGAGAACTTTCCTCTCAAATATGAACCCTAAAGGCTGGTCAGCATTTTCGATCGAATAAGATGGAATCCCTGAATTAAAGGCCACTCCGCCCAACGATCAGCTCAGTAGGAACAAGGATCGAATCAGGAGGCACAACCTTCTCTGGCTAGGAATAGGCGGGAAAGAGAAAACTTGATAAATCGGGGATGCCGGGAGAGGCATCCCATCCATAGCTTCAAAATGAAATGGATACAAATAACTCTGAGGGATCGCGTCGGTCATATAAATTGGATGACGATGACAACCTTCACTTCTCACAAAAACTCCAAAATTTTTCAGTATCCACCAATTTCGTACCCCCTAAAATCTCGAAGTACGAAGGAAAGGGTGATCCAGAGAAGCATCTTAATAAGTACAAGACATAGATGAGCTTAAAAGGAGCTTCACCAGCCTTGAAGTTCAGGGTTTTCCATTTAACTTTGAGTGGGACAGCTAAGATTTGGTACAGCTGATTACCACCACTGAGTATCAAGAGTTGGCCCAACCTTAAAAAGACATTTCAAATCAATATCTATCGAGAAGAGAGGGTGAGGCCCCCCATTCAACGCCTGTAGGACATGAGACAAGCCGCGGGTGAGACTCTCAAGAATTATCTTGCCCGATTCACTGATGAGATAATTTATCGTGAGCAGATTGCAGACAAAGAGGCCCTCTTGGCCTTGAATGGAGGCCTCAATATGAGTAATTTGTTTTGGAGGGATGTGCGAAATAAGAATCCTGTCACTTACAATGAGTTGGTAGAGATGATGAGAGTAGAAATTGTCAATGAAGAAATGATCGACCATCGGAACGGAACGATGAAAGGGCTTTGGCCGCCTCAAAGGCCGATAGGAAGAGGTTCTAACGCACATTTGGTTAGCCAACAATGGACCCAAGCTGGGCATGCTGTGGGCCTAACCTCGGGACAGGCCTTAGCATCAGCCACACTAAATGCAGTACTAATATTAGAGTTTGAAAATGTAGGCCCAAGTACGAACATCGAGGCATGGACATCACGAAGGACGGCTCCCAAAAGCCAAGAAATGGGACGAAGATTTAGACATCGGCCCGTCGAAGATGTGTGACCATATTGTACATTCCATTGTTTTCTATGGTCATGATCTAGCAAGTGTTAGGACTTCTCGTAATCTTTGCGAAAAGATAACCCTAGCACCGTGAGGGAGGATCGAGAATGTAACGTAGTGGCCCGCCTCTTCCGGTGGAGACGTGAGGCATCAAAGGAAACATTTGCCTCAACAAAGGAGGGAAGTAGAAAACAAGCCCTAGAGTAGGCATAGGAAAAGAAAGGATTGGGCATCAGCTACTGAAAATGAGCCCATCCACGAGATTGGCACTATAATCGAAAGCTCCCATGTAGGAGACAGTACTTGAAATGCGCAATGGAACCACACGAGGGAGGCTAAGGATCCTCCTATGACCAGCTATATTGTTAACCATGCCCAACATGCTAGAAAAGTGGAGCCAATCACCTTCATCCAAGATAATGCGTAGGGCATACATTGCCCCCACTGTGACATGTTAATGGTAAGAGCTATTGTTGCTCGCAACGGACTAAAGCGTATGTTGTCAATAATGGAATCTCGGTAAACATGATGTTCGACTCTATTTATGATAAGATACTACTACATCACGTCCTTACTCCCATGATTGACCCTTTGTATGGGTTCACTGGCGATAGAATCATCCCATGGGGAGGATCACTTTGGTGGTTAAAAAGGGTATGCCTCCCCTCGTAGCTTGCCACTTCATGGAGTTCTTGGTGATTGATCATAGATCTGCTTACCATGGCGTATTAGGCAGACCTGCTTTAAAAGAATTACAAGTTGTCACCTCAATCCAATACTTGTGCATGAAATTTCCCACTGAGCAAGGGATCACTATAGTCCAAGACATCCAAATGGGATCCAGGGAATGTTACCTTTACTCCTTGTGAAAATCAAAGCCCCATAATTTGAATGTGATAATAACTGACACTGAGATGGTCGATGCCCTTGAACAAGGGCTTACCCTCGAATAAGGGAGAGACGTCGAAATGACTGAAGTCCCTAAAGAAAGGTTCCCTCAAGATGAGCTACACCCTCGGATTATCGAGTCCGATGGAAGAATTGGAGTATTTCTCTGCCAATCCCTAAAACCTACTCAGGTTTTGCGAATAGGAAAGACGTAGTCTATGCTACTAAGGAACACTAATGGACTTCTTGCGGAAGAACCTGGATGTCTTCACCTAGAGGCACGAAGATATGGTAGGAATAGACTCCAAGGTTAGTTGCCACCATTTGAATATTAATCCCACATATACCCCACACCGGAAAAAGAAGCAAGCCATCAACCCAAAAGGATACGAGGCCCTGAAAAAGGAAGTAGAAAAGTTGAGTTGCAACGGCCTCATTAGAGAGGTCATTTATCCGAAATGGATATTTAAAAACCCAGTAGAAAACGGAGTGTGTGCATTAATTTCTTCGACCTGAATTGAGCTTGTCCAAAATATAGCTTTCCACTTCCTAGGATAGACCAATTAGTGGATTCTATGGCCGGACACGAGCTACTAAGTTTCATATATGCATATTCAGACTATAATCAGATCCCTATGTTTCGAACCGACGAGGAGGACACCTCGTTTATCATAGATAGGAGATTATATTGTAACAAGGTGATGCCCTTTGGGTTGAAAAATGCAG